TAGCGTTAACGAAGATTCTTATAACGAAGTCCTGATCGGCTGGATCAGCAACTTCGTTATATTGAGGTGTGACTGTATTAGTATAAAAAAATACGGATACTAAGAAAGACTTAAAGACATAGCTAGAACGTAAAAGTGATATAAGAAATAATAAAATGTTAGATTATATGTGGTAATTAGATCATATTATTTAGATTATATGTGGTAATTAGATTACATCATTTAGATCATATGCAGTATTCAGATTATATGAGATATTTAGATCATATGCGATATTCAGATTATATGTGATATTTAGATTATATGCGATACTATAATCTAGGTTAAGTGGGATACCACATGCAATATGAATCATATTGCATGTGGTATCCCACTAAAGTAATAATTTTGACTTTAATATTTATAAATTATAAATTTAAAATTTATTATTGTTTTTATTAAAAAAAATAATAGTTATAAATTTTATATCGAGAATAAAAAAAAATAAAATAAGTCAAATTTATATAATTTGAAAATATAAAATTAACAGATGAAAAAAAAAAAAAAAAAAAAAGCTTTTTTATGGTCAATTTAACTATTTAAAAATAATTAATATGAGTTGATTAATAATCACGAAAGACATTTTATTGGTCGAATTTGGAATATGATTTCGTCATACATGTCTGATGTTCATGCAAATTCGCGTAGAAGTACCGACAATTAAATGTATTAACTTGCTTTCGAGTTATATTAATAGATAAAGAATTTTTTTTTCTTTAGTGAACAAGCAAACAATATGACAAGGCGAAATACAATTGCTTTTACGAACGTGATACGTGAACTTAATTTGCAAAACGATGAAGCTGCAATTAAAGAAAAAGCTTCTGAACTCCAGAAAGAAGTTGATAGGAAAATAAATGCAAGACTCATGTCACATTGGCCGAGTTGTAAACCCGTCCTTTGTATCCACATCGCGTGCGAAATGTATATATATTTTACCTGATTTATGATTATCTTTAATGTATTTACATAATAACTAATGTTTTCATTTTTACAAAGTTTAAGGATTCCATTTGATAAAGACTCCATCGTAAAACTTGCAAGTACAACTGAGCAGAATTATTATTCTTCTCTTTCCTACATCAAGAAAACTCTAGTCATTTCCACTTTGACTTTTGATCTATTGGCATCACGTTTTGATTGTCCAAAGACTTTACCCTATCTTGAATCTATGTTCGAAATTTTCAAAAACAATTGGTCACAAAAGTTGACAAACGCTAACCTTAGAACAATTGATTGGGATAATCCTGTATTCAAGGTTGCTATATTTTGGTGTATTTACAAAACATTCGGAGTAAGTATTATAAAAAAAAGTATATATTTTTATTTTATTTTTTTTTTTTTTTTTGTCATTAAACAAAGTTTATCACATATAGGGTCAAAACCAAATAAGTCAACAAGAATTAATCGATCTACCAGAGGTTACTATAACTCGTGTTGAATTAAATAAACATACGAAACTTGTTGAAACCCATTGCAAAAGTTACATTGCTGAATTAAAATCGCAAAAAAAATTAACTGGACGCAGAATAACTTTTAAAAAACCGATACCTCTTAAAAAAAAGTCTAAACCTAAAAATGATGGTGAAGATAAAATGAATTATAGTGGTAAAGGAAAAAGAGGTAGGAAAAGGCCATTCCAAGAAGATGATGATATAGAAGAATCCAATAATAAATATTCCAAGGTAGAAGAAACCTCAAAATCATTTGAAAAAGATAAGAGACAAGCGGTAGAATCTGAAGAGGAAGATGAAATATCTTGTATTGGACCAATGAATTCACGAGGAGAAATGGTAAGTATAAGTATTTATGATAAAGAATGTCATATTTTTTAAATATAATTTTTTCAACGCTTTATCTTATATCGTAGAAAATCGTCAATTACTGGGAAACACGATTATATGATGATTATCTTGATTGGCGTGAAAGTATTATAGAAAAAATATCGGAAAGAATGGATATGGATTAGAAAGAACGTTGGAATTTATAACGTTGAAATAAGAAACTTTTTAATTTATAAATCGTATTAAAGATTTATTACAGTAATAATTAAACATTATTCTAATTAATTGTTGTTTTAAGATTTATTTTTATAAAACTGCAATCTATGCAAAAATATTAACTAAATAAAACTAACAATAAAAAAGTTTTTTTGTAGGATAAATAAATAAATAATAATTAAATATATCCTAAATGAATAAAAAAAAAAAAATTTAAGGCTCAAAATCCTTACCTTACCTTATTTGTTCTCATTTGCGCCGAAAATAGCTAATAAATTTTTCCAAACAACATTTTGATTTTGAGAGGCATCAATGCTTGACCAAATACCTTTCTGCTTATAATAATCTACTACAGGGGTAGTTTGTTTATGATAAGTAGCCAATCTCTTTCTTAACGTTTGAACATTATCATCTGAACGTTGAATTAAAGGTTCTCCGGTGATATCATCTTTACCGGGGACTTTCGGTGGGCTTTATAAAGGAAAAATATTATGGTATTAATTTAAATAAATAGAAAAATGTATAAAGGAAACAAGTAATAGAGTATTTCTATTCACAAGCTTACTCGAAAATTTTGTGATAAGTTCTACCACTAGAAGGATGAATCAAACGACCGGTAATACGTGAAACCAATAAATTATCGTCAATAATTAATTCAACAGCATGATCAAGTTTTTTCTTATCTTTTTCAAGCATAGCATCAAGTTTTTCTGCTTGTGGGACCGTTCGAGGAAATCCGTCCAAAATGAATCTAATTTTTTTTTATATTCTTTTTAGAAAATATTTATAATATTAAGGTTTTTTTTTTAAAATAAATAAATAAATAAATAACGAACCCTTTTTTACATTCAGGATTATTATGTAATTCATCATGAATCATTCCAACCATAATTTCATCAGAAACCAATCCTCCAGAATCCATAATCTTTTTAGCTTCTAAACCGAGTTTAGTTTTTGCTGCTACTTGTGAACGTAACATATCTCCTGTAGCCAAATGACAAATACAATATTTTTCTTTGATTCTTGGAGATTGGGTCCCTTTGCCTAAAGGATTAAAGTAAACATATTAAAAATCTGTCTCTTTATTAAATCTCTTTTAAGAAAACTTACCAGCTCCTGGTGGACCCATAAGCACCATTCTTAATTCTTGAGAGGGCTTGAAAACTTCCTTTTCAATTTTTTCAATACGTCCATTAATAGATTGTATTAAACTTTTTAAATGTGTTAATTCTTCGAGATAAACATTAGTTTGATCGGTATTTGATTTTGAAGGCATATTTTATTATTAAGACAAAAAAAAAAAAAAAAGTAAAGCGGGAAATAAAAAAATTTTGATGATTTAAAAAAAAAAAATTTTTTTATCCGATCAGATCTGAAAATATTCAGTGTTACACGCGTCCAAAAAAAAATTTAATGAAAATTACCTTAATTTGGATATTCTTTTTGGTTAATTAAAACCATGAGCATAGCATAAGGTTTGAAAATTACGTAACTTTTTAGATTTTTTTTTAAAAAAAAAAAGGTGATATAATTCTTTAACATCAGAGCCCTATCTCATCAAATAGTCTTTGAGTTTTTCATTGTATTAGTCATATGATTAGTCATATGAAATCAGTGATTTCTATCTCAGTATGACCAAATAAATTAAACAATTATTAATGAAGCATATGACATTCATGTTCCAGAATTTTTGGTAATCTTTCATGTTTCGGGATAAATCCGAAAATTTTCGGTTCCGAAATTTCTAAGAAGTTTCGGAACATTTTAAAAATGATCGGTGATTCTGATTGACAATTCCGAAAAATGTGAAAATGAATATTTAGATGATTCTGTTATATACATATGTTGTGATGGAGAATACATAGAAATTAGTGATAATTAAGTTATATGTGTATGAGAAGGAATTTGTAATAATGACTTCTTGTATATATTTTGATGCATTAATTGAATTTACCATATAAAATAAAGGACTACTTGAAAGATTGTTCACTTTATTTTAAACAAACAATATTATTAAAAAACAATATTTTCTATAAATAAATTCAAATAACGATTTTCTTTGAATATAACGACGATCTTTTGTTTTTTATGAATTATAATCAAATCAGTCTTACTTTACATTTAGTTTTTTTATCTTCAAATACGACTTCTAAAATTTAGCAAATTATTGATTTTTATGTACTGTTAAGATATTTTTTAAAAGTTTAATGCTAAAATAAAGTCATGTAAAGATTGGTATATATATGCTTTACAGCAAACAGCCAAATTTCGGTCAAAATAACTAGGTACTCTATTAGGATTTGATTGACATTCGGTCAAAATAGCCAAAGACCAAAAGGTAAATCTGTTAATTACTATACAAATACAAATTTGGTTAAATAAAACATCAGTATTTAATGATTTTATAAATATTCTATCTAATGCAATTAAAAAAGCTTTTTAATATTCTTAAAAAGAATATTATTTATATAAAGTTTTTAAAAATAATAAAAATCTGTCTTTTTTTAGAAATATTAATAAACAACTACGAATTGATAAGAAATAGTTATGGAATCATTGTCTCTAGTTCAATTAGTAACAACTGAATTTTATTGTGGGTTACATTGCAATAGCCACAGATTTAGACCTCAGCTGAGGCATAAAACTGTATGATTTTCATAAAAATTTTATAATAACTGAACACATAGCTTATATACTAATATGTATTAGAAGCTGGTTGATCAATTTAGATTTGAAGAACAAATAAATGTAAATAAATCAAAAATTGATAGAAACTTAGCTATCACTAATAAGTTTGTAATAGATACTGTTTATGTCTTCAAACTCAGAAGTCTTATATAAGTAAAGAAGTAATTAATCAGTAATTAATAAAGTAATTACTTTACAAGGGGCTATAATAATGCTTTAAAATTACATTATTATCCAATTGAATTGTTATTTATGATAAAATCAAATTTAATTTCTAAATGAGTTTGATAATATAAATACAACAATTACTTACCTTTTTAAATTCTATATAAAATGATAACTCTCAAGATATAAGTTTTATAAGATTACTTTATCTTAGATCTTCCTGATCATGTATTAAAAAAATATTCTGATAAGCAGAGATTATAATAATTCTGATTAGTATTAAGAAATGACAATTTCTATAGCTAAAAGTAAATTTTTTATTCAAATTTAACAATAGCTTTGAAAGCTTTAGAGATCTTAAATCTTAGAATCTGAATGTTTATAATTTAGTAATAAATTTTAGGCTATTATAGGATAATTTTTGATTAAAATTTAAGTTTAATCACAATCTTATTAGATTTTAATTAGCATTAAGAGTAAAGATGATCCTTATAATTATTTTCAAATTTCAATTAAGTTACAACTTAATTGTGACATAAGGAATTTTAATTGTGTCATAAGTTGCAACTCAATTGCATTATTTTTTTAATTATGATGTTCATCTTTAATTAAAAATAACTTAATATATACAGTTTCTGGTGAAAAAAATGGCGGAAACATATTTTGACGGTATGTACAAACTTTATTTTAATATATATTTTTTTTTTATTATTTGTAAGAATAATACTAACGATAACTTTTATATGATTAATTAATATTTGGTGTGTTCTCCTTCAGCATTGATACATGCTTTAATCCAGCTTGGCATGCTCTAGATACACCGAAGTAACATGGCGTCATCAAGATCGTCCCATTCCTGCCGGATTGTATTAAGGAATACATCGCAGGTAA